ATTGCAGATAGAGCTCTCGCACAGAGCACAACCCGTACTTTTAACACTCCTGGAAAAGACAATTTCTCAAATGACCTAACTCTTGAGTCTCAATCCTTATACGCTGAAACTTTGAGCTCATCCTCACGCAGTAAAGCCTAAATATTCACAAAACACAGTCATAGTTTGAGAATGCAAAAATTAAATGGATAGGCAACGCACCAGAAATGTCAACATTGAAGTGGGGCAGGGTGGTTGAGCTTGGGATCACTTGGCAGCGAAGGTCCAAGTTGCCTCTGCTAATAGAAGAAAACTTCGCACAGGGTTGAGACGTCAACTGCAACCCTAAGTAAGAACTCCGCCGCAACGTAGGCTGCTGGATTTGTAATCCCACTAGGCTCCCTTGCCTGGTCATGGCAGGGGACAACGCCATTGCCACAAACGTACAACTTTCCTACCCTACTCAAGGAGCCACCTACCAAGTCCGCAAGTTCTGCACAGAATCCAACGTTTATAATTCAATTACATAACCCCACCTGCATAATCTCCTCACAGATCCAAAAACCCCACTCCACTCTACCAAATCCATGACAATCCCCCTCTCTCAAAGGCAAATGGGAGACCCACAAACTCGAAGTGCCCACAAACGAAATGTTGAATGCTCCACCTTGCAACTCACGAATCTTGCGTCTACTGGAATGAGAATGTAGTTGCAACAATGGGTCACCGACACTAGACTAGCAGTGCAAGAAGAAGAGGGGGGCAGAGGGCTAGTGCAAATGGGAAGGTACTGACCAGAGAAATAAGAAAATTTGGAGCGTGAAGGGGCAGACAGCTACACTAAGAACAAGAGAAGAAGGCGGAAGGGGAGGGAAGGAGACGGAAAGGGAAGTGGGGGGGGGGGGGGCAACCCCATTGGACTCTCTGCCTCCAGATGGATCGGCGAGGCAAAAGGCGTGGCCCAAAAGCCCTACACTCCTCACTGCCTTACTCCTCAATAGGGACCCTAGGCTGGTTGGCTGGCTGCTTACTTTAGCTAGCTACCTGCTTTGCTGCTGCAGCTTCTTGTGCTGTCTCCGCTTTCAGGATTTGGTTACTGAAGAGTAGAGCAGAAACTCTCCAAGTGTCCGTTTTCCTTTTTCTTTCGTTAGTTCGGTTCTCGATTTTCCATTGGAGGGGGATTTCGTGTGTCCTTGCTGGTGGGGTTTGGCGGTGCTGTGCCCGCAACTCGCCCTCCCCCCCCCCCCCCAAAAGCAAGGAAGCAAGGAAAATTCGGATCACTCATTCCTTTCTTTCTCCTTTCCTTCCTGTCCTCCCTCCTCCTCCTCATCACACTTCTTCATCTTCTTCATCACCATCATCAACATCATCTTCGTCTCTGCAGAGTGCCCCTCCCTCTCCTCACTTCCCTCGTGCGTCGCTGGATGAGGAGGAGGAGGGTGCAAGCAGTGACCACCGCCTCCCTTCTTCCCCCGTAAGACCCCCTCTTGACTTTCTATTACCGGTTACAACGGACTGCGAGGGGTGGATGGATGGATGACACACTCTCCATGGATGCGAGCGAGCAACTACAGTGGATTTATAATATATATTAGTATGGATGTAGTTACCCATTTGGATGGATGTGCGGAAGATATCAATATCCATATAAGTTCATATAACTATAAAATGATTAAAATAAGATAATTAAATTTTAGAATTCTATGTAACATAATTTCAGAATTTTAGAATTTTAATCTTAGTAGTTTTCTGTACGAAACTATTTAACATATGATATTTGGTTTCAATTGTTTTATACTACATTAATTCAAACCTTGCATATAATATTTATTGGCATTTGAAGTCTTTTTCAATTGACTTGTTCCTTTTCAAAAATAATTGCAAAAAGAAATTAATTTTAAAAATTTAATAGATTATTGTTTACTTATGAAAATAGGATAAAACATTTTACTTTTGAGATTTAAACTTCTTCATTTATCAATTTAGACTAACTTTTATTTTAAATGGATTTACAAAGAATGTATAATATGGTGAATTTTATAACATAAATCAAAAAAAGTCTTTCTTTTGAATCAAACATGATCATTTTTAATTGATGTAATATCTTTTAGATCACAAATTCTTAAATAGTTTTTAAAATTTTGATGTATGATTTTTTATTTAATATTTTAATAAATAATGGATTTATTGCATGATTTATTTAACTTTATTCTAAGAAGACACAATCATAAAAATAATTTCTTTATTATTTTTAATATAATGGAGTTATGTCCATTCAATAAAATATTCTATAATAAGAAGGCAGTTGTATGTGTGCTTTAATCAGTTCTATAAACTTAACTATAATTCTACAATTATTACATGCTTCAAATTTATGCAAATAAAAATTTTAATTTTCACTATGATAATCATATTATTAGCTAGAGAAGCGATTTTTGATTCTTTATTGCTTGTTTCTAGTATTTTAATTGCAACTAGTTTAACTCCTTGCATATATTATATTAAGGCATCATTTTGTAGTTGTGAATTACTTATAAAGAAACTAAATCAAAGAGTCAATCAACATTTAACATATTTGGATTAGTTTGACTTTTTTCAGGTCTCATAATTTTAATCTATTTAATAATTTATTTTTCTAACCTCAAATCTATCACTACCATAGAGATTTAATTGCATAAATAGCTTTGAATAGAATAAGTTAAATTAATTTTAGTTTAGTAGATGTTGTATGTCAAACTTTCTTCTTCTTTGTTAGATGCTTAGCATAAAATAGAGCTTCTAATGAAATAAGGTATACTCATCTATAAGGTACTTTTAACAACAATAGTGCTTTGTTGTACTCTAAAGGATCAATATTTGTTAGATTTTTCTCTTCTTTAATTAAAAATCTGCATATAATGAAGCTTGAAATAAAAAAAAGATATAAATGTTTACATGTTACTTTTGTCAAATTTAACAATTTGCTATACTTCAAAGGTTTGAATGTTTAATTATCTTCATTAAATGTAATAATAGATTTTTCTAAAATTATAAAATTTGTAAGTTTTATAAACTTTATTAAATATTAATGTATAATTTTTAAAAAAAACTTAAAATTTATATTTATAATTATATTTTAATACAAAGAAATTTAATGAGACAATTTATTAATGCACTATATTATAATTTATTTTAATTCAAAAAGAACTTAATGGTTTTAAATGCTTGATTTATAATTCTTATTTATTACAATGTATATGCCTAATTTTTCAAATCTATTTTTATATTTTAGGATATTAAAATTATATCTTTTGATTTACATTAATAAAATATTTTATATAAAATTAATTATTTTATATTTTAAATTAATAAATTAATTAATATAATAATCTTTATAAAAAATTTAAGATTTGAAAAATAATAATAATTTTAAAAAACTATTATTATAATATTTTGTTTAAAAACCTCAATATAATAAATTAAAATATAAATTATATATAAAAATTACTAGAATTTATCATATATGAATATAAATTCTATATTATTTTATTAAAAATAAAAATATGTAGTTATATATTTATTTATTAAAATTCATCTTATTTATTTTTTAATTTTTTTTAAAAAAAATTCATAATTGGAATATAAGATGATAATAATAATAATAATAACATAATTGTCACTTGCTAAAACAATCAAACGATACAAAGTTAGAGCAACAAGTGGGAAGGTAAGAGTAGGACTATTAGTAATACAATGAAAACATAGAAACACCTCTAAAGTATAGACCACAAAGGAAAAATATTTAAGAATAAGAAAAATAACACAATAGTTGGTGAAGCATTAGCATAATGAATATAATATTATTAAGCGATAGAATCTTAAGATAAAGTAGTATTGATTGGAAGCCATATAATTTTGAATTTTGGTAATAAACATCAATGTATATTGTTAGTTGAAATTGTTACAAAGTAATATCTTCTACTTGCTTGTAGATTCTAAAGCATAAGTAATATTTGATAATTATACTAGGAAACATTGCATGACAAAATTTTGAAGGGAATTGTTAAAGAATGTACACAAGATCTATTAGCAAGGTAAAAAGAAGAATAAAAACATGAGAAGATATATAAAGATCTCTTTTTAGTTGTCTCAAATTCAATGAGCATAGCTAAAACTCAAGAGAGATTGCTACAATCACTATTACTTAAGGAGACTAAAGATTTGAAAATTTGGTAATAATGATATATCATAATGATTTGTACAATCAAAGAAAATATACAACCAATAAAAATACATCCATGTTTTGAATATGCATATAATTATAGAATTATTTATTATATTCATAAGTATCAACAGTCAGCAGAATATCAAAATCAACAAAATCAATACTGAAATAAGGTGACTATCATGAATATTGAAGAATCCCATTTATCTACAATATCAATAATACAAGTTGTTTGTGCCATAATAACCACTCGAGTTAATTGGTGCCAATAAAAAATATCTAAAGAAATATAAAAGAAACCTTATATTTTATATACTTCAAAACAATGGAAATGGCTTGAAAAGATTTGTGAATAAGTATAACATGAAATATGCACAAATCAAGCTATGGTCCATATTTCCACTTCCTCTATTTGTATATTAAAGCCTAGACTTTGTCAGCCCAATTAAATCAATTATTAAGTGGTACAATAAATATATAATCATAGCAATAGAGTATGTAATCAAATAGTGAAAAGCTTATATATTAAAAATAAAAATATTAATTATTATTAAATTTATTAATAAAAATATAATCAAATAATTTAAGTGCTTGCTTGAAATAGTTTCCAGTTAGAGAACCTATTTTATAATAAATCCATCAAAGTACTTGTGGATATATTCATAATCAAGCATTAAACATCTATCATCTACTATCT